CGCGCACGTCGCTCGAGCTCGTCGACACACTCGACTTGGCGGCGGCTGCGGGCGCAGCGGCAGGCGTGGCCATAGATGTGGTGGAGGTGGCGGCTGCGGCAGCGGCAGCGGTGGTGGTGGGAGTCGCAGCGCCCGAGGCCGATGGGCTGTCGTGACCGAGGTCCTTGGCGTGCGCATCAATGAGGTTCTGGCGGAAGGCGTGGAAGGCGGGACGAAGCGAAGGAGCCAGCTGCTTGCGTACAGCATCGTACAGCTCGTTGGCCGCCGCCGACGACTTGGTCGACATCTCGGTCTCGAAGCGGTACTCGTCGCCCTCGTCCTCCACCTCGTGGCTCATCTCGGGGAACGTGATGGTGCCGCTCGCCTCGGTGCCGTCGTCCGAAGATCCCGACCAGGCGTACGTGATCGAGCAGTCGTAGATGGTGATGAGCTTCCCCTTGCGGTTGCCCAGCTCCACATCGCCCTCGAACGAAGAAAGGCGGTCCACCTTGACATGTCCGCTCTTGCCCACCGTCACCGTCTTGCCCACCGTCGCCTCGGTGATGTGGTTCTTGGCCCAAGGCGTGCAGCCCTTGGTCTTCCAGTGGTAGTGCTTGTTCCAAGTCGACATCGTTGTGCAGTCAAGGGGTAGAGAGTGTGCGGGACCGAAGAGAGAGTCGATATGAATGGCAGGTGGTGTTGCAAGAAAGTGAAGCTGCACAGATCAGCCTTTCCGAGCGAGCCCTCACTCTCCAACCGCCGCCATGCATCAAAGCCCAAAGTGGAGTCGAACCAGACTCAGAGAAGCGCATCTCGACGTGCTTCTCAGAAATTGCCAGAAAGAAGCGCTCCTACGTGATTTCTTCCAGTGCATCGGGTCCGATCTACCCAGCACAGACGTGTACTTGGTCTAACAGCAATTTCGAATTCTCACCCTTGCCTGGATCAGCAAGTGGCTTTGCCTTGGTGCATGCAACCAGCTGCCACGCTGATCCGGAGCGGGCACAGAGCGGGCTTAGGGAGGGCGCAGAGCGGGTGCGGATCAGTTTCAGTCAGCCATGATGAATCGCTGTCGCACCGCCATTGTGGAGCCGCCAAGCTGAGTAGTGGCGCGGCAGACACTCGAATCGACACGAATCGGTTGCCGTGTCCGCTTTCGGATCTTTCCCTCCTACATCCGAATTGCCGCCCAGCTGATGTTCGTAGTCATACGAAATGGCCGCCTCCGAAAGGGCAAGGAGAGCCAAGCCACCGAGGTGCTGAGGGCCGCGCGAGGCTCGATTTCGCATCCAAGGCGTGGCTGCAGAGTGAGCCTGCCCCGGTGGAGAACGGTGTCCAATCGTTGCCGTAGCCAAAGGCTCGAGGAGGCGCAGCCAGCCCTTGAAATCCGAACGTCTCTTCGCCAGATTGAGATTGCGTGATGCTGGTGGAGTAGCGCGGTACGAGGCACGCGCCGAATGGAGCGGGCAGGCGACGCGTGCTGACTGTAGTAATCACACGGCCGTCGTCGCGCAGCAAACTCTCACAAGAGGAACGTCCTTTCCGTGACATCACCAATACTTGGCTACGCCGACTTTGAGAGGCTCGCTCCGTTGCAAGCGAAGTCCCGGCTTCGGTTCACGAAGCGCGAGGGCCACACCTTAAAGAGACTCCTCCTTGAGCTCTCTTCCCTCCGCACGCGCAAGATCGTCCCTGGAACCTTTTCCCTCACAACAAGTGTGTATGATTTTCTTCAGCTTCGATCTCAAGATACTCTCCATCGAAAGGCAACCTTGGCGGCTACGACTGATTGTATCTGACTCATCTAGTCCTGTCCACACTCATACTGCTGAAATTCCTGCATCGCTGCAGAGTATTCCACTCGACCGGCGTCGCCTGCCATCGCTTCTCGGACGGAGACGAGTCAGGGTCCGCAGCTCGCACGCCTCATCGCGACGTCACGGGGACGTTAGACTTGCCTCCAATGTCTGCAATTCGAGCTTTAAAGTCAAGGGTCGTGCGCCACCCGAGACGCTTCCTTCCAGCCGGATCGAGCAACCGAGGTCCCGGTTGAGATGCACTCTTCTTCGAACCGTCGGAGAAGATCCGCCTCTCCCTATTTCGCATCTGGGTCCGTCTGTCTCGCTTCGCGATGTCATCAAGGACATGCGCGCACATGGGCAGCCCGCGTGACGGGGCCGGCACGCCGCCAGCTGCGCCGGTCCCCGCTTCCAGTGACTCAACTTCCCCTCACTCAGCCGCAACACCGCTGTGCAACGAGGGAGCAAGGCAGCAGTCTCTCGGCTCACATGCCTCATCGCCACAGACGGAGCCTCTGCGAGCGAGTCCGTGTCCGTCTAAGTGCGAGGGCGTCTCCTACCGAGTCTGCGCCCCGCGCCCGCTGTCCACGAATCGTCGAGAGCGTTCTAGCTTAACGGCATCACGAGACGCGGCAGAGAGCCTCTCACTCGCGCTGAGCAAGGCTTGATCGCTCGAGCCACCAGCCACTAACTGCCGAAGAAGTTCTGCACTCGTCTCTGCTACGATGCGTGCTGCCAGCTTGTTTGCCACTCATACTGGGCTGGGCGTCTATATAGAAGAGGGGTTCCAGGCGAGATCACCGTTCCTCACGACCTGATTCAAGCTCTGCGATGCTTTTTCGCAGCCCACGAGTTCGGCACACCGGAGATTGGGACCACGCACTTCACACAACTTCGCGGAAGCGCCGGATGGATTCTTCGTCTGCACTCAAGATGGGCGAGAAGGATCCGAGTGCTCCTGCTCGCTACATGGCACATCCTTCCACTATGCGTAGCCAAGACATACGACGTCAGGACCTCGCCGCCATCCAAAGAAACGAGGTTTCATCCATCGACGTTCCAGCAACTTTGCCGCCGCAACACACACAGGCATCAGGTCTTGTCGGACCATGCCTGCAACAAGCAACCAGCCCGAGCGTCGAGACTCATCAACCGAATGACAGCGGAGCCGGGCCCGCCGTGTTGGAACAACGACCGCTGATTGCGGTACTGCCGGCCTCGGAGCCATGGGAGCAGCCTTCGATCAACACCCTTCCTTCGCCCACGGCAAACGCCCGAGCCAGCCGTCTGTTTCGAGAGAGGCGAAAGGAGAGGGAGAGGGTGCTGCGGCAGACTGTGGCGGAGCTCGCCGATCGCAATGCAGCTCTGGAAGCGTTGCTGTTCCATCATGGTATCGTCCCGCCAGGTTTGCGACAAGATCTCAGTATCCACAGGTCGCAGAGAAGAGGAGGTCCACCGATGCACATTCCAGGCGTGACGACAAGCCTTCCGACAGGACTTCAGAGCTTGCCCACAACGCAGCAGTCTGGAAAAGCCAGCTCGGCTTCTGGCTCGGGATCAAGAGACCACGATTTTTCCTCGGGAAGCTCCAGAGACTCTAGCGACTGCTTCCGCAGGACAGCGCCGGATCTGCGCACCGCCCAACAGACGCCATGCGAGCCGATGCTGCAGGCCTCCGGTATGGTAATGCCCCGCCCCACTGCAGTAAGTGCTTCTGCCATCCTCTATCTTGGTCGCCTGGAAATTCATTCTGATAGCAGAAAGCTGACGAGTCGTCCTGATCGATTACTGTCGGCCCGCAGCAGATGTTCCCGGACGGACTGGTCCATTCGCACGGAGTGTACTACCGAAACGCAGGCATCGGACAGCACCAGCAGCGAGCGAATCATCTCGCGACTCGCGACTCGAGTGATCTCGCCAATCTTGCAGCTCTGAATCCCCTGCCAGCACCGAGCACAACTTCCACAGCCTCGGATGCTACTGCTGCTGGTGCTGCAACGACAGCAGCAGCCGAAGCAGAATCGGCGGTTGCACTGGCTACCCAACGGCAGCGCAGACAGGCTGCTGGGGATGCCTTCAACGCGCCGACACGCCGACCGATGGGCAGGGCCCACTTGCGGGCTCGATCTCCCTCCGACTCGACCCTATCAGATCGGCGGCTACCCTCGACATCACCGGAGCGAATGCCGACAGGGACCGCCGGGCTCTTTCCCTACCAGTTGTCATCTGGATATGGAAGGCAGGGTATGGCGATTTCAGCGCCCGGTGCTGGTGCCGCTATCCCGTCTGCCGGCTCAAACCACTTGATGGTGCCAGAGACATGGCTGCCACACACCTGTGCGGAGGTGGCGGGTCACAGCAGCCGGGCCCTGCCTTCGGAACCAGCGAGAGCCATCACACAGTCGCTAACGCAGCTCGCAGAGCCGATCGCGGTGCAGAACGGACTAGGCTCGCCAGCAGCTCCCTCCACTGCGCGGCAGTCTGAGTCCCTGCCTGGTCGACTTCCCGTGTGGACGGTTGGCAACTCGGATTGGCCGTCCGCTTCGGCAGTGCATGGCTCCGCGAGTGCATCTTCGTCAGCCTTTGGATCCACCAGAGGTGTCCCGTATCCTTGGCTTCGGCAGCAGGGTTCGTTCGCGCAAGCACTCGCTCTTATGCCACTGTCGGATTCCAGCCAAGGCAGCGGAAGCTCGGCGAGTCAAGCCAGTACACGCGAGTCGCACAGGTCGGCAGGCGACAGCGTTCCAGAGGAGGCGGGACCCGATCGCAGGTGGACTTCGGTCCGCATGATCTCGGACGACGCTTCGACGCCCCCCGCCCGACTGGGACAGCCGGGGTCGACGCTGTCCAGTCCGTCACGGTAGGCAGACTTGGCGGAGATCAGCATTTTTTCAGCCTTTCGAAAGCGTGAGCGGCGGGAGCACTGATCTTCCTTCCACAACATCGAAAGGTGGACGGGCTTGGCTGAGGGTCCAGCCTCCTCCGAGCTCGATTCTACTCTTGACCTCTCCACGCCCACTCACTCCAAGCTTGCCTCTGCGGATCCCAGCTGAGCAAAGATGGCCAAAGTCTTGAAGCCGGAGCTCAAGCGCTTTCTTCGTCGAGCGCATCGCCGTCAACGTCCCGGGCGGCCGCAAGGTGCCGGAGCTCAAGTGTCCGTTTGGCGGCGCGCGAGTTGGCTTTCGGACTTGCTGACCATCTCTGGGCCCGAGTTGCAGATGCACATTGCCGGCGCAGATGCTGCTCGACCACGTTCCCTTCGAGGCCGAGTTGGGTGTGCCCGCCTCGAGCAAGACTTCTTGCCAGCAGTGTCGGTCGGCATCGCGCTCGTGCCGCACTGCAATGTTTCCGGCCCATCCCAACGGGCAGACTTGGTGAAGACAAGCAGGGTCGCAGCTCTCCTACAGCGTGATCAGTAGGAGCACGGCCGGAACCCCTAGCCAGCAGTGCCTTGGCATCGAATGTAAGAACGGAGATGGCGCGTGGTTTCATCTACTGTATGCGAGGCGTGCCGTGCTGTGCCGGTTC